ATTGAGAGTAAATATTGACTACAACTTTTTACAACGTTTTTCACACGGTCAGCTTGCCGAAACGTGATTCTGTCGCGTGTTAGCAACTCAAGAAATTTATATCCATTAATCTCTGATGTGTTTAAGTCTGTCTTTGCATCTAATATTGTGTAAAGGAAAATATTGTAGCGTGCAAGGAATAACGACCTAATGTATAAACTAAAAAGAGGTCCATTATCTATTTGATGTATGCAAACTCGTTTCCTTCCCTTGCAACATTTTTGTAAATTTAAGTCATCTATCTGTGTTTGTTTTTATTTAGTGAATTTACTATTTATTTATTAAGTATGATTTTATTTTATGTTAAAAAGTAAAACTGCACTTCGTATAAGTTCCACTCATTTCCGTGAGTATATGGTAATTAAGCATTAAGTAATCCGTTTTAAAAATTTGATGTGTTTTTGATTGAATAAATATATTTCCCAGTCTGTGGCTACAGGCGCTTATGAGTAGCAGTAGCGAAACAGATGTGGACTGTGGGGTTGTTTGGCACTATTATTAAAAAATAACTTCCTAAAATAATTTACTTTATTGTATATTATCAGAAAACATAATATAAAAAAACAGCAAACGTTTAGACATTCAAAATAATAATAAATTAAAAAAAAGTCTTTTATCTTCATTTGGCTATTTCATGTCACGACGATTGATATGAGGCTTTTATTTCTATGGTCCAGTGTTATTTTATGTAAGGAAAATAAAGATCAACTACTGATGAAAAGGGCGTCCATATCAAACTTAGCGAAAAAGTGAATGGTAAGCTATAATAATACGCGACTGTCGAAAATCATTTAACGTGTACATTTTTATTTTTATACCTTTTTATAAAAGAAGGGGAAATAAAATATGTATATTATTCGAAAGAACTGCGCCTTAAATATCATTATCATCATCATTACATCCTATCAAAGTCTACTGCTGAACAAAGGCATCCCTAAGTGATCGCCTCATCGTAGAGATGTTTACCACGGTTACTATGCACGGCAGGCGGGTTTCCAATCACAATTTTTAGGGTTCCGTAGTCAACTAGGAACCCTTATAGTTTCGCCATGTCTGCCTGTCCGTCTGTCCGTCCTCGCTTAATCTCTGTGACCGTTAGCACTAGAAAGCTGAAATTTGGTACCAATATGTGTATCAATCACGCTGACAAAGTGGTAAAATAAAAATTGGAAAAAAATGTTTTATTAGGGTAGCCCCCCTATATGTAAAGTGGGAAGTGATTTTTTTTAATTTCAACCCTAACGTGTGATATAATGTTGGAAATGTATTTAAAAATGAATAGGTGTTTACTAAATCATTTTTGATAATGTCAATAATTTCGGAAATAATCGCTCCAAAATTAAAAAAAACAATGTGTCCCCCCCCCTCAAACTTTTGAACCATAAGTTTAGAAAATATGAAAAAAATCTGAAAAGTAGAACTATATAAGGACTTTCTAGGAAAATCATTTTGAACTTGGATGGTAACAACAGTACCCACTACCGGGAGCAGTTGCAGGAGCGCGGAGCGCTGCTGGAGCGCGAACATAATGGATACCCACCTTTAAACTCATAAGTGGGAACACTTATTGTGACGGACGGGAAACTACGGAACCCTACACTGAGCGTGGCCCGATACGCTCTTGGCCGGTTTTTTGATTACTTGGAATTGGTATCCGAAAGTTGCTGCTGCCAGTACACAAAGTGCTTTGCCATGCCTGGTATACTGAAATAGGTTAGGTGTAGATATTGCGTTAAGGCAGGTAAAAAAAATGAACATACGATTGAGTAGGTGGCAGGACTGCTTTTCTGTCTAGGAGTCTGTTTGAGTAGGTTCCACCGTCTTGCAAATTCTGCTGCCAAATCACAGTGGCCAGCATTGCTGTGTTTTGGTCTGGAGCGTAAAGAGAGCTAGTAGAATTACAAGCTGTGTTCCATTTCAGTTCTCAGAGATGACCCAGCATTAGCCTTATTTGTTTGAAGTTAAAGTCACTTATCGTCAGGTGAATGTAAAATCAAGTGATCAAAGGTGAATTGACAAACGAACTGACATTCCATTTAGTTTGTTATTCACTTCACTTTTATCAAAAAACAACATACACACATAGTATTTCCATACAAAACGCTTTAATTTTTGTTTATAGTACAAGGCTGAAAATTGAGCACACAGTCCACCTGATGGTTAGTGGTTGCTGTGACACATAGACATCTACGTTTATCCGCGATTAAAAATAAAAGTGCAGATGCGTTGTCACCTCTGAGGACTAAGATGGTATGCCCTGTTTCCAATAAAAGAAATCTCAGGCTCTCTATATTCACCAGAAACCTAGCAGCATTAAAACGTTATTTTACGCTTATATCATGTGAGAGCGTGATCCTACCTGGTTGAGCCTATCCATTCGTGCTACAATCATACCACTTAAAAAATAATTAAATTGTTTTTATTAATGGAATATTCCTATTTTTACAAGACACGATACTAAATCTAAAAAAATATTTGTTTTTTTTTAAAGTGAACAAAGGGGATATTCCACTAACTAAACGATTCTGCTAACCATCTTTACAGTTCTTTTAAGTTCCTTATTACGAATAATTTGTTTCCGCTTAAGTTACTAAATTCTTCTTGTGTAATAACGAAGAGCTATAGCCTAGAAGTATTTCTTATTAGCTCTTTTTAACAATTTACCTGTGATATTTCTTAAGACTTACCTACTATTATTAAATATTTCCTTTATGATCTTACAATATTACATAATCTTAAATGAAGATTATATTAGGGCCGTAGATGCTTAGGAGATAAGCGTCTTAAAATAGTTCAAAAATAATTTAAATATTGGAAATGTAGGCGATGAAATAAAATATCGTGTTTTATCCCGCATTATAAAGAATATACGAAATATTTTAACCATTGGCGTAGTGAGGTTCTCCGAAGTTGCTAGAGCCAAAGATGTTGTCTCAATGCGAAGTGGTGCATTGAGGTCCTTTTGGCCTATGTACATCTATTGCAAAGTATCTTTCAAATAATCTAAGTATCTACTCTACTATTCTATTAAATCCAAAATAGATACTTTAATTTAAGATGAAGAACTTACTATAATAAATTAGCACAATAGGCTATAGTAGGTTTAAATAAACAAATTCATCCTTTCTATTATGAAAACATGCCTGTAATACTGGGTGACAATTCCAACTGTTTTATCCTGTCGGCTTAGCGACTTACATAAAATTCAGACACATTTCATTTCGCTCTCGTATTTTTCATTTGGAAAGTTTATCCATCGTTCAAGAAAAGAGCTTACTCCTTTCTAAAGGGCCGGCAACGCACCTGCAATTCCCCTGGTGTTGCGGTTGATCATGGGCGGCGGTAGTCACTTAACATCAGGTGAGCTGCATGCTCGTTTGCCCCCTCTTCTATAAAAAAGTTATTTACTTCTGTGATCGGCTATCAATCTTTGTAGGTTCATAGAATGGTATAAATTACGCCTATTTGCAAACAATAAATTCCGCTCTTGGTATTTTTAAACTTTTTAACGTGGTTTTCTTGAGCTGATGCCAGTAAATTGATGCCAAAAAATTGGTTAGTGCTGAATTTATATTTTAGTAATGAATATTAGTATTTATCGCGTGCTCGCCGGAAACTTACTGAAGACTTAGACAGAATGCCTCATAGTCTGTTATTATACTGGCTGTCTATACCCCTTAGATCGGAACACAGCGTTGCAAGAACTGCTATTTTGCGGTAAAAGTAGGAAAGGGGGTAGTAGAGAGCCAGATGAACTCCTAGGCTGGAAAATAATCCCACCTCCTCCTCCTTTCCTCCTTCCTTCTTTAGTAATACGGAAACCCTGTCTATTTACTCGAATTTTGTAGCAATGTATATTGCGCCATGAACTGAATTACTGAGTCTTGACTTATCTTTTTTATTTTTCTCTGAACTTTTGGCTTTATTTTATAAATAGCTCCTTTTGTCCTCTTCCGCAAAACATTCACAATAACGTTGCGGCAAAAGTATTGCAATGTTACTGAGCTATCGAGTTCTCAGGCTGTATCTTTACATTACCATATCTTTATTACAATTACAATGAATTTTTGCAAAGGAACACCTGAGTGATAAATCATTTTATATACAGGCTATAAAATTCTGCTGCTGAACATGGGACTACTCCATAGATTACCTCATAAGATTGATTTTGCTATAGTTACCACGATATGCAGGCGAGTTGACAATCGTGTATTTCAATTGTTTTGAGCTATTATCGGAAGATGATTCTCAACCCGAGACGTACATAACCCTACCTTCTAGTGGTATATAAAAGGAGACTACAAACAATAACATAACAATTTATTTTTCAGATTATGCATACTCTGACACCGAAGCTAATGAGGAAGGCAGTGAATAAAATAGCACGATGAATGTTACATGAGACATGTTTATTAATAATTTTTTTTAATTGTAAAATTATAACTTAATTTTGGTCTGCGAGTTTTTTTCCCCAGTATTCATTTTCCTTTTTCAATATTTCCGGTCGCCAGCGTTTATGTTCTGCTTCCATTATTTCCATACGCCGTCTGTACTCTGCTTATTGGAATTCCATTTGTTTCTCTTATGCAGATTTTGCCAAAAGAAATAATTCTCTCTGTTCTGAGGTAACATATATATATTTGTTTTTTTTTTTTTTTCTAGTGTGATGTACAAGGAAGTGAATCCATTCAGCAAGTCGATTTTTTTTAATCAAGAATGTATAAAACAAAACTGATCATGTTACATACTATTTCTGCAAGTAGTGGTAGTGAAGAACCAGAACAACCAGGTTGAATTAAGTCTGTATTACTTATTTCATTCTGAAATAAAAGAAACAATAATTTTGGCTTCAGTATGCTCCAATTAAAGACTTAATTATCCGACGCTAGTAGATACCAATAATTACCACATGGTCGTTTTTGCTGTGAAGGTTGTCACTATCAAAATAATTTACATCTACTTCAAACACAGCAGGAAATATTTGCATTATTTGCACATCTTCTAGAGGTGGGACTAGGCGGGCGAGGGCCTCCACCAGTTGCATTACAATTGCGCCTATATTCGAAGTCCCTCTTTTTAATATTGTTTTTTGTATTCCTCCACAGGTTTATTAACTGTGTGAGATCTCTCCTCGTGTCGTTCAGCTGATTGAAACTAAAACAAAAAAAAATACCACATGTATCATTCATTACATAACAATTATAACTTATTTAAATGTTCGGACATTCCTTTGGAGAATCTCTTGCCACGCTGCCTTTTTTAAATGATTGTTGTTTTTACTTACATCCTCGTTTTCAATGATATGTATTTTTTTCTTTAAACGCTTCTAGTTTATCTATCTTCGAATTATTTCTTAGAATTATTTCTTTTGGCAAAATCTGCATAAGAGAAACAAATGGAATTCCAATAAGCAGAGTACAGACGGCGTATAGAAATAATGGAAGCAGAACATAAACGGTGGCGACTGGAAATATTGAAAAAGGAAAATGAATACTGGGGAAAAAAACTCGCAGGCCAAAATTAAGTTATAATTTTACAATTAAAAAAATTATTAATAAACATGTCTCATGTAACATTCATCGTGCTATTTTATTCACTGCCTTCCTCATTAGCTTCGGTGTCAGAGTATGCATAAACTGAAAAATAAAATGTTATTGTTTGTAGTCTCCTTATATAAATATCACTAGAAGGTAGGGTTATGTACGTCTCGGGTTGAGAATCATCTTCCGATAATAACTCAAAACAATTAAAAAATACGATTGTCAACTCGCCTGCATATCGTGGTAACTATAGCAAAATCAATCTTATGAGGTAATCTATGGAGTAGTCCCATGTTCAGCAGCAGAATTTTATAGCCTGTATATAAAATGATTTATTCACTCAGGTGTTCTTTTGCAAAAATTCATTGTAATTGTAATAAAGATATGGTAATGTAAAGATACAGCCTGAGAACTCTATAGCTCAGTAATATTGCAATACTTTTGCCGCAACGTTATTGTGAATGTTTTGCAGAAGAGGACAAAAAGAGCTATTTATAAAATAAAGCCAAAAGTTCAGAGACATAAAAAAGATAAGTCAAGACTCAGTAATTCAGTTCATGGCGCAATATACATTGCTACAAAATTCGAGTAAATAGACAGGGTTTCCGTATTACTAAAGAAGGAAGGAGGAAAGGAGGAGGAGGTGGGATTCTTTTCCAGCCTAGGAGTAGATACTTAGATTATTTGAAAGATACTTTGCAATAGATGTACATATGCCAAAAGGACCTCAATGCACCACTTCGCATTGAGACAACATCTTTGGCTCTAGCGACTTCGGAGAACCTCACTACGCCAATGGTTGAAATATTTCGTATATTCTTTATAATGCGGGATATAACACGATATTTTACTTCATCGCCTAAATGTCCAATATTTAAAATATTTTTAATTATTTTAAGATGCTTATCTCCTAAGCTTCTACGGCCCTAATATAATCTTCATTTAAGATTATGTAAAATTGTAAGATCGTAAAGGAAATATTTAATAATAGTAGGTAAGTCTTAAGAAATATCACAGGTAAATTGTTAAAAAGAGCTAATAAGAAATACTTCTAGGCTATAGCTCTTCGTTATTGCACAAGAAGAATTTAGTAACTTAAGCGGTAACAAATTATTTCGTAAAAAGAAATTAATTACAGTGTAAAAATGTTTTAGCAGAATCGTTTAGTTAGTGGAATATCCCCTTTGTTCACTTTAAAAAAAAACAAATATTTTTTTAGATTTAGTATCGTGTCTTGTAAAAATAGGAATATTCCATTAATTAAAACAATTTAATTATTTTTTAAGTGGTATGATTGTAGCACGAATGGATAGGCTCAACCAGGTAGGATCACGCTCTCACATGATATAAGCGTAAAATAACGTTTTAATGCTGCTAGGTTTCTGGTGACTATAGAGAACCTGAGATTTCTTTTATTGGAAACAGGGCATTCCATCTTAGTCCTCAGAGGTGACAACGCATCTGCACTTTTATTTTTAATCGCGGATAAACGTAGATGTCTATGTGTCACAGCAACCACTAACCATCAGGTGGACTTTGTGCTCAATTGTCAGCCTTGTACTATAAACAAAAATTAAACCATTTTGTATGGAAATACTATGTGTGTATGTTCTTTTTTGATAAAAGTGAAGAATAACGAACTGAATGGAATATCAGTTCGTTTGTGACTTCACTTTTGATCACTTGATTTGACATTCACCTGACGATAAGTGACTTTAACTTCAAACAAATAAGGCTACAGCTGGGTCATCTCTGAGAACTGAAATGGAGCACAGCTTGTAATTTTACTAGCTCTCTTTACCCTCCAGACCAAAACACAGCAATGCTGGCCACTGTGATTTGGCAGCAGAATTTGCAAGACGGTGGAACCTACTCAAACAGACTCCTAGACAGAAAAGCAGTCCTGCCACCTACTCAATCGTATGTTCATTTTTTTTAACCTGCCTAAACGGCAACATTTACACCTAAATATTTCAGTATACCAGGCATGGCAAAGCACTTTGTGTACTGGCAGCAGCAACTTTCGGATACCAATTCCAAATTATCAAAAAATTGTGATTGGAAACCCGCCTGTCGTGCGTAGTAACCGTGGTAAACATCTCTCCGATGAGGCGATCAGTTAGAGATGCCTTTGTTCAGCTGTGGACATTGATAGGATGTGATGATGATGATATTGATATCTAAGGTACATTTCTTTCGAATAATATACATATTTTATTACCCCTTCTTTTATAAAAAGGTATAAAAATAAAAATGTACACGTAAAATTATTTTCGACAGTCGCGTATTATTATAGCTTACCATTCACTTTTTCCGCTAAGTTTGATATGGACGCCCTTTTCATCAGTAGTTGATCTTTATTTTCCTTACATAAAATAACACTGGACCATAGAAATAAAAGCCTCATATCAATCGTCGTCACATGAAATAGCCGAATGAAGATAAAAGACTTTTTTTAATTATTATTTTGAATGTCTAAACGTTTGCTGTTTTTTCTATATTATGTTTTCTGATAATATACAATAAAGTAAATTATTTTAGGAAGTTATTTTTTAATAATAGTGCCAAACAACCCAACAGTCCACATCTGTTTCGCTACTGCTTGCTATTCATAAGCGCCTGTAGCCACAGACTGGGAAATATTTAATTTTATATTCAAGCAAAAACACATCAAATTTTTAAAACGGATTACTTAAATGCTTAATTACCATATACTCACGGAAATGAGTGGAACTTATACGAAGTGCAGTTTTACTTTTTATCATAAAATAAAATCATCCTTAATAAATAAATAGTAAATTAACTATATAAAAACAAATACATATGATTAAATTTACAAAAATGTTGCAAGGGAAGGAAACGAGTTTGCATACATCAAATAGATAATGGACCTCTTTTTAGTTTATACATTAGGTCGTTATTCCTTGCACGCTACAATATTTTCCTTTACACGATATTAGATGCAAAGACAGACTTAAACACATATGAGATTAATGGATATAAATTTCTTGAGTTGCTACCACGCGACAGAATCACGTTTCCGCAAGCTGACCGTGTGAAAAACGTTGTAAAATTGTAGTCAATATTTACTCTCAATAACAATTAACAATACGAAAAAGGAATGCTTTCTCGCTTTTCCTGGTTATTAAAGATTTTTCATACAGTGAGCAAAATCAATAGTAGGGGGGATAGTTTGCGATAATTTAAAGTTTTTTACTGCTGTGCAGCGTTTAGGTGGTCAAACATCCAGAAATATTACAATGATGTGAAAGTAAAGCTAGATTTCAGGCCTTAATTTATGTTTGTTTAGGCAATTTTTATATTGCCAGGTAAACCGTAGACAGCGAATGCTATAGACAAATTGATAATAAAATACAATTTTACGTGATTTATGTTGTTATTCATATTTATATTTTGTTTTGAACAATTTAGATTTAGAATTCGAACCATTTTTTAAAATAAAAACATAGTGCGGTGTTAGTTAATAACATATTAAGTTTCGATCCAGGTTTTATAAGATCTTTATATATGTTTAGTGTTTTTATAACTATTTAGTACAATACACGGGTTAGTTGCAAACATTATTTTGTGCATTTTATTAGCAATAAATGATTGAGACAGGTTTCTCTTAGACTCTGAATGGGATTCAAGTTTTAATAATCAATATTTATGGGCAATTTGAATCTCGTTCAGAGTTCAAAATACCAAGAACTTAAAATTCAATTTTCAGTAAAAATCATCTTCTTACACCTATTTTGTATTAATTAATATTTTAAATATAATCAACTTTTTTTAGGAAAAAATGCCTCTATTTCACCTTCCTCCATCAGTTTTTACGAAGAAACACTTATTGAAATTGAAAATAATTTAAGCAATTAAATTATTAAAAAAATTAAAATTTATAAAAAATTATAATATTTTCCCTCGACTTAATATAGTATTTTGCGATGTATTCTACAGTATAAAATAAATTACCTTCGTTATAATCTTAGTACATTAATTTATTATTAAGCCGTTTGATCAAGGGATGTTATGAAACCAAAAGTGTGGCAGATTTGGCATACAATCACTTAATTTCAGATTTATCCTGCTGTTGACCTACTGCCGTCAACTAGTAAGCATAGATGAGATGGATATAAGGAGGCACGTCCAATGGGATGGAACAAAATGTGTAGGTCTGGTAAACTATGGGGTAGTTTTGGATGGTCATGGAATACATCACGTCATCACAAAAAAAGCATTTGAACCCAAGTAACAAATTAGAAATCATCGTACGAAGCTAATTTTGTTTAAGGGACCCTCCTGCCCTCATCGCAATTGATTAGAGTTTGACAACATGTCTTCTCCAGGCTTTCTTTACATACTAATTTCTAATTTTATAATTAGTTGTGGATAAATTTTTCCTCACACTTGTAATCTTGATATAGTGTTGTCTCTTTTTGCGACACGCTTTGCCGGTGCCTATACTTTTCTCTGTCTACGGGGTAAACAGACAAATAGCGCTTATTCCACAGATAACAGAGCGAGTGAGTGAATTTTCAATTGACTTGAATGTGACTACCTTTCCTTCCTTATCCTTTTGAAAGCACGATAACTGCTTATTGGCAGATAGTT